TTAATGATGTGTTTCAAGGTCCTGTAGAGGTGAGCAATACTATTCATAATATATCCTATCTGACTGTAAATCAAATTTAATTTTTTTTTATTAAACTTCTATCTTAACCAGATTGCTGTTTTATTATTTTTAAATGGTGTTTAGGACAAAGGTTGTCAACAATAAAACTTGTTGGGTATAAAAAAAATAAAAATGGTTCTCCTACTGCCTACTCAAAAGGTCTGGTTTCAAATGTTTTTTCTGGAAATAACTGCAATTTACAGATAAATCAGAAGATGTTCTTTGATTAAAAGTTTGATAGCTACCCAATACAATAATATATGGTGGAGCCTATAATAGGCAATATTCTTAATCTACTCCATCTATCTTGCTTCACGGTGTATATCGAATACTACTGTATATTTTAAAACTCCATGTATAGCGTGTTGTTAATTTAACACTGAGTTGCCTTCTGACATGCAATGCCATCATTTTGTGTCTGAATCAGTTTGAATGCTACCTCAAATTTTGATCATAATTTCTATGTAAATTGTGATATCATGGACATGTAAATCTGTATATAATTTTTTTAATGAAGCTACATGTGCATGCCATTTAGATCCAGTCTACAATTATTGTTATAATTTCATATCTAGACAGCTTATTTATAATACATCATGTACATACATGTATCTGGTCATAATTCATTTAATATGGCTAAAAGAGATTGAGAGAATTAACCTATCTGTGTCAAAGATAAAATGGTAAATGTAATTTGAAAAAGCCAGGCAATTGTTGTAGGATAAAATCAATAACTGTACCCTGCAAACCTATCAATGATTACTTTTCATTGATAGATAACTCAATCATGCAGAAATACTTGGGCCATTTGGGATGCTATTCATTTACTGTCCAACACATCTAATCGTCCAAACTGTTACTTGGAGTATATGGCACTCAAAACAGATTGAGTATGATCATAGGCTAGCCTGAATCCGTTATAACACACGAAATTAAAGTCAGAAAAATACAGTAATCGTGGAGACCTTCTGTAATCTATAATCATTTATGTAATTGCTTGTAAAAATAAACTACAGTATATGAAATAAGCTATAGATGGATTACGTTCCCTCTATCTTGCTTTAATAACTACTATCAAACTCTATGTTAGCCTTCCAATAGAAGAAGTGATATAGGTGAGCGTTCAATATAAATAAGTTTGTTTAGTGTTATTATCTGCCATGCCAAAAAAATTCTGTAACAAAATATCGCAAAAAGCATGGATAAAATTAAATTGAAGCCAAAGGCATGCAATATTGGGTGTAAGTGCTAACTGCCAAGTATGAAAAGGGTCCTATTTACATAGATTGAACAAATTATGAGCAAATAAAGTTGAAAGTTGACAGGTTTTTTAGCAGACATGATTTAGTGCTTATCTGTTAAATTACAAAGTATTAAATCTCAACATGGTTGAAGCGTAATATGAGAGTTAATTTTTGGAAAAAGTTGCAAAAATGCCCCCCACCCCCACCCCCGAAATTCAAAATAAAGAGAAATTGTTCCAGAAATAAATTCTATTTAAGCCTACATTTTAATTTGATCAACACAGATTATTCTTTAAATAAGCATAATGATTTCAAATCGGATTTTTACATGTTTGATGATAAAAGAGATTTCAACTAGATTAGAAGTGGTTGGTGGACTGTAACTTAAAGCCCAACCTTTGTTTTAGCTAAAGATCAACACTGATGGCAAGAGGCACAAAGGGAATATTGGTTACCAAATTCAACTATGAGAGGGGGGGGGCTTATCTCTGCAGACAAGGACAATTAGTTGAGTGAGTGACAGGGGGAGAAAAGATTATCAGTAATATATCAAAGTACTATAGTCATGTCAATAGGAAGTGAAAGACGGTCTCTGGAGTAAACAGTTACACCACAATGGAAATGCATGTAATTATCAAACATGTCAAACCATGTACTGTAATTAAAAATACTTTGTTAAAACTATGGTTCATGAGAAAATGGAAACTTGAATTGTCTTATCATATTTATTATTTATGTAACATGGATGTAACTTTTCATAAAATTCATCAAGAACATATTTAGTAATTAAGGTCATGGATACATGTACCTGTCTATACAGATAAATCCTGTTTTTTTAGCTACATGTTTATTAAATCATTTGGTGTCCGCCTAAAAGAAACTGGGTAACATGGATATCATTATTTATGAACCAAGCTTTTGGGGAAGAGGTAAACTTTTGCTGACCACTGCCAGTGACCTTGAAACCCTCTTTTAATCACAGTGGGGTGCAGAATACAATACCTGTTGTCATTCATTAATAATGCTTTTCCACAGGGTAAGGTGTGGAAATTGCTTTTAAATTTATTAAAAAGAGGACAAAAAAACAACATTCTTTCATCATGAGTTGAAAACTGAAAATTGATAGTTATCATTTAATCCTTAAATAGCTTACCTATCTCCTTAACTTTTACGTTAATGTGTCTGACATTAAATCTAGTCAAGAGCTGCAATCTGATTGTTTTTAGAGTATTTTTTCCCCCAAGTAAAAAAGATCACAAGTGTTATCAAGGATACTGTATAACAAGCAAATTATAAACAGCAAATTTCACAAGAAGAAATACTGACTTTTAGATAACACTGGTAATATATTCTCATCTAAATCAAAGGTAGCCATGACAGTATATCTGATAGGCCATGATACATTCTTTATTTTCCATAATCTCTTCATCAAAAGTCCACAAGATTTATTACTTACAAAAAATATCCAGTTAAAAACATTAAGACTAACTTGATTTCATTTGCAAAGTAAACCTGAACATTTAATTGCATGGTACTAAGTACCAAATAGTGTATTAAAGTGGACAATTACTCTACTCTCAATATCAAACTATCCATAAACTCTGTAATAATTTTTATTAATGGAATGTATAAACTCTAAGCTTTCTTATTAACTGTATATTTCTAAAAAAAAAAAGGCATTTCCTTTCCTTCCACCTTTCATCTGTACTAAACCTATACCAAACAATTTAAAGGTTATTTCCGTGCAATTTGGGACACAATCTAACTTGGGTTAATACCCAAACAAAATACCAAAATCATGGATTCAGTTTTGAGACAAGATTGCATACGGATTAAAGTAATCCTTGAAATACCTTGTGCTCCTTAGTTCAAGTGAGGCTATTTATTTTGGAAGAAAATATGCAGTTGAGATAAAGTTTTGGAATGTACACATTTACTGTTATCAATTCTTTGAGTTTATTGTTTTTAGATAAAAACTTGCAAGATGGCGGACTTGACAAATATCATTATAATAACATTTCTAGATAATCCAGGTAACACATGTAATTAATCAGGAGTAAACATAACCAAACATAACAATATTGTACATTTAATAAACAAATAGGACACTTTATAGAAACACTTTTGAGTCAAGTGAAATATCTAAATATTTGCCTTATGGATCATGGAGCCAGCCAGCATGTACATGTCATTTAGTATATTTTAATATTCTTAGTTTGCAATTTTATATTGGTAAATTTTGTCTTCTGATATTGGTTTACCATTATCTGATGTATTATTGAAAATGAGATTTTACATGTATGATGATGCATATTTTGTTATATGCGCAGAGAATTGGCTACTTTTCTGAATAATATACATGTAATATATATACATTTGTAGGTCTACATGTATTGTTTTGTGTATGTAATGTTTATTAATAGACCTACATGTATATTAACTTAATGTGTATTACACATGTGGGGCCAGTTTCTAAATATCAGTACCAGTATGTGTATTCAGTGATCATATATAGCATAGAAAGAGCTCTGGAGTTTACATGTACATACTACTTGTACCAAATAAATAATCAAAATGGCAAAACTATTTTCCTGACCTATGACATCCAATTAATAATACTTATTATCATATACTGTCAATTCCATTCACATGTGTTTTGTTTTAAATTCATTAAAAATGTTGCAGTTAGGTTATTCTTATTTATAAATTAACAGATCAAAATTAGTTTAACTCTCAGAGGTAGATTCCAAATAAGTTCCATCACCCAACTTAATTTTATTTAACACATATTTAATTTGTCCAAATGAAGTGGTTAGGTGTCAGACACAAGTATAGCTTTTCATTGAAATCTAGAAAACTAATCTCCACTGTTTTGTATCTTGACATATCACATAATCATTATAAAAACTAGGGTTTCTCTTTACACACAATAAACTAATTAACAAAATGTCGTTAATTGGCTTCTTATTTTAACTGATTGTTTGATTACTTTCATCCTGATGGATTTAACTTTGATTAAATAACTAAACAGACATTTAAATTTTTAACTGTTATTTGTTAAGAAATGTTTTCAAAGATGGAAAAATAGATATTTTGGAATTCATAAATGGTTTGTTTTAAACAAGTAAATGTAGTCGTACATTTGGCTGTAGGCCTATATCAATTGAGTTTGTTGCAAATCCTGTAGATAAAAAGCTTGAAGAAATTCGTCACGTATCTAATCAATCCCATGAAAGAAAGTTTAAGACTGCTTGTAAAGTTTTAGGTTGAAAAGCAAAGAATTGGGCGAAAATCATCCGAACGCGAAATGCCCCAATGCCGTAATACTGAATTGAATTCACTGGGGAAACACGACATACATTCATACATTGTTGCTCTAATGCACAACCAAGTTGTAATTCCACAAGACTGCGGGTCTTTTTAACACGGTAAAAAATTACATCACAATTTTCATTAAAAATCGGATGTTTATATTATTACTTTACGGGTAACGGTTAAATATCATAAAGTCAAGCCGAACCAACCGTCATAGCAATGCACATGTACTATAGCAATTTAGCCCCGTATACGCAGACTGTATAGATAACACACGGCTTCATATCCCTCACTGAAAAGGGGTTGTTAACTTGGAGAAAAATAAATAATTTTTCATAATTTTTACATAGATAGTTAGAGGAATAATTTCTTGTCACTTACCGTTTTTAGCGTATGTTAAAACCGACGTAAACACAAAATATCCAAATAAAAGCGGAGCCCATATCCGCACGAAGCTACTCCGTGCCGCCATGTTTTACTTTCTACCACCAGTCACACGTCGCACATGCGCAGTTAAGAACTCATGAATATTGATGAAGGAAGTCTTGACAGGCAGCTTTCAGTTCGATTTCTTTTCTTGATACTCTATAGAAATGTCCACACACACACTTTATGAATCAATCTAATATTCGTCATTTATATTCCTTATATATCCTTATATTTCACGGAGAGTGGCAGCCGTGACTAAAAAGGAATTGAAAAATGCCACTGTGTAAAATGTTTTGACTTGAGCTGTATCCATAAGAGTTATACGTTTCACCCCTCTCTTCTGACACCCCTTACTCTCTTTTCAATATCCAATTCTGAAATCATAAAATACATAAATTATATTTATAAATATAGCACACCACCATCCACCCACGTGTAATATATTTATGTAATATGGGTAGATAGTTAAATATTCCAACTTTTGAAACTTTTTAAAAACTTTATAATTTCGACTTGACTTTAATTTATTTTTTTATTTATCTCTCCACAGGGTGTATGTGAAATTATCTGTCATTTCAATAGAAATCTAAACGCTTGTTGTTCCCTCTTCTTTGGTTTTTTTAAAAATTTATTATAATATTGTTCGCGGGGGCATTTTTTTTTTTTTTTTTTTTTTTGAGTAAGAGGATTTAATTTTTTCTTTTAACTTCCATTTGTATCAATTCGGCAAAGCTTATTGACTTGAGAAACGCCCTCCCCCCACACACAAAATAACAAAAAAAAAAAGAAAAGAAAACAATCATTTAGAAAAGTGTCATTTATATATTCATAATCCCGATTTTCAAAAAAAAAACTTGCTTGTATTTATAAGTTAAAACTATGAAAATTGTACCACAATGTACCGCTAATATTAACAACTATATTAATGGAGGACCGCTACTTACTTCATTTGTAAAAAGAAATCACTGGAGTATAAATTTCACCTTTTAATTCCAAATAATCACACATAAAATCCAGAATTCCGTGTAACAAAGTTTAAAAGACAGGTCCAATAGCTACCGCATAACTCGCACTCAATATACACACGTCCGTTCTCCCGGACCGAGACCAATATTGTGATTGTTCTTAGTTAACCGATTCATTCCCACCACCAATGAGATGAATTTGTTGCCCAAAACAATAGTCGCGATCTTTCAGCCATCAATTTGTTGATAGCTACACTGGACAACCACGGAGAACATTTTTGCCTTGGGCCAACTCAAAGTTACGCTTCGTTAAATAGAAGAGTTCGTTTCCACTTTATCCAGACCTACACCTTTTCTGATTATATAGATATTTACGCCTGGATAAAAGAGGACGTTACCTGTCCAATTTGCCTGTCAGGTAGGCTTTGAAATGTAATTAATATTGTCACCAAGCCCCCTGGCGAGGTGGGGCCATCTGTATTTTATTGGCACCACCAGGTAATTTCAAGTCATTCTAGCGGAAGGTCCCCACACCCACACAGTAATGATATCATTTACAAGATTGATTTTAAAAACAAAAGAATGTTTTAGCAACTGATGTTCTTATTCATTGAAACGTGTACCTGAAATAATAGCCTTAATTAAAAATGGAAACACAAATAAACCGAATGATATACTTCTTATATTGAATTGTATGTCCAGCATTAATTGTTGTACACAAAACTCCCAAAAAAATTAAAAAAAAAAGAAAAAAAAAAGATACATAAAAACTAAAATCATTATGTCATACATCATTTGCACGTTTAAAATATGTTGTTCAGGTATAGGAAATGATATTAAAATAATTCAATCATTTCATATCATAAGATTAGATATTATTCAGGTTCTGACCCAGTAATTCTCAAACAGTTTTCAACGGCACACTATGTACATGCGAAAAACCACGTGATCCCGATTGAGTATTTTTCTTTATTTAGTTTGAATCATGGTATGTGTCTATGACTAGTCTGTGTCTGTCGTCTATTACTTGCCATGTTTTTATTTTACAAAATTCAAATATTTTTCATATATATTTTGCCAGGCGTGCCACTATTTTTTCATGTTCCAAGGTGTGCCGTGGACAAGAAAAGGTTCAGAACCACTGGTCTGACCGTTGCTTAACATGCATTAAAAACGTTGCCCAATGTTAAAATTATTAGTTTGAAAGAATACAGTAAGTTACACACCATTTTCTCTTTTATGAATTATATTAGAAAATATGTTACGGTTTATTTGTAGCCTACTGTAAAAGTCAAAATGAAATAAAATGATTTTTATTGTGATCTTAAATATCATTTTCATCAGTATGAATATATTTCTGCAGTATCCATTATGCATGTGTTACGTGAGTCAGTTGTTATATTCATAACATTGTTAGGTCTAGACATTCACCCGCAGTTTATACTTATTGTATAGATATTATGCGATTGTATTGTATGTTTTGATTTTATTCGAAAAATACTTCAATCAATATTAAAGGGATAACATGTCTGAAATAATCTTAATCCAAGTATAATTACCACAAAAGGTAGTGTTTAACACTTAGCAAAGTGCTTTGGTTGTATATAAATCCAGTTCCTAACTGTATATTATATTGTCTTTGATAAAATAACCATTGTTGAAACGTTGCTCCTTTTAAATTCAGTAATTGTAGTCCATAACTGTTTTGTCTTTTATTTAACATGTCAGAATTAATCAAATTTAGAGTCTAAATACTCTTAAAATATTATCATTATATTTTTGATTTTGTCTTTAATAATTTAAAACAATGAAAATAAACAATTATTTATGATTAGGGTTAATTATTTTAAAACACTGATCACGAAAATGTCAAAAGGTTAGGATATTATATTATCATAATATTACCATAATACCATAACAATGATGATATCATAATGACATAATTTATAAAAATCTATTTGTATATGCGTATGTATTAATATATTCAGAAAACAGACTGAATGTATTTGATTGTTATTGTATTTTTTTTAAATCTTTATATTTTATACGTATTTAAATTGTCCAATTATTCGATATACAGTTGAGAGTTATTAACTGTTTATGTGGTGTACCTAAGATTATGATCAAAGTTTTTTTTATTGGATATTGTTATGTGTTATTGAATATTATGATCCACCCTTTTTTAATTTTATGCATCATCTTATTTTCGTATATCTGTACAGTTGTATTAAGAAATATATGTATTTATTATGTATATTTATTGATAGGCATGTTTGATTGGTTATGTACATTATATTTTTTTATTTGTAGATCATCTTATGGTCGTAAATATTTTAATTGAACTATTTGATTAGATATGTATAATTTTATTTGATTTCACGTGGTAGTTTCTAAAAAAAATTGTCTTAGATTTCCACAATTATTTGAAAGCATTTTATGAACATAACGAATAATATATGTATTCACGTAAGCATACACTTAGAATTATTAAAGAAATTGTGTCAATTTGTCGTGAAAAATCGGAAATAAGTGACAGTTTTATAAGAACGAGGTTGATGGGTCCAGTTAAGTAAAATAGCGTTAGTAGAGTGCAGTAGTAAAACTGTAATTTCCTAGGTACTTATAATAAGTAGGAGATAAGTATATAGTCGCGTGGAGTGTGCCTTGTATCTGATCTCTGCTAGAAGTATACATATTTATAGAAAGCGCGAAATAAGATCTCATTTAGCACCACCTTAACACAAATTGCTTGGCCTATCTTACTTATAGATAATTACACACAAATTATTACTTAATTGCCGACGAGCAATTATTTTCAAATAAAACCATACATTTCAAAGTCAATGTTTATCATTTAGCGTGAATGCAAATTTTCTCATCACTGATATTTATCAATAAAAGTGCAAGGATCTGATATAAATTACATACAAACTTATATAATATTTGAAGGCATATTTAAGAAAAGGGATAATTATTATCACTTTCAGCAAGAATATAATAAAAGTCTAATTAATTTTAAATCATATTTTCAAAATAACCCTATAATTATTGAAAAAAACAAACACTGGCCTTCTGAAGTTTGATTTAGAAACTGTATTATTATTCCCGATGACGATGTTTTATATGCTGCCTCTGCTCTTGTTCATTTAAAACCTGATACATGTTATATATTTTTTTCGGAGTTGTCAGATAATGAGATGGTGAATATTACCTTAGAAATAGAATCTACACATAATGTTACTTACATCAAACTAAACCTTTCGTATCTATTGCTTATTCGTTGGCCGATACACCCTTTTGTAATACTCGTTTGTTCTTGATTTCTATCCCTATACGGAAAAACACAACCTTGGATACAAGTATTTATATTCTTATGCTTGAACTTTCGACTAATTACAATACTTGCATAACGATGCTGTTTCCATGTGTTTGTTTGATTGAAAAGTTTGTGGGCTCAAATCTACCTGGTTTTAAAGAAGCAAGACACTCTTGTCTGTGATATAATTTGTGGACTCAAGTCCATCTGGTTTTGAAGAAGCAAGGCGGTCTCGCCTGTGACATCATCATGGTAAAAGTGGACGTTAAATAAATCTAGGCTATTGGCATACACTATAATCCAACATCAGGAAACATCGATCTTAATAATACAGTTTGGGAATTCAACAGATCGTTTGCTGAACTCTTTGAAAACCACTATAGACTATACATGTTTTGATCTTAAAACATCTATATCTCAGCAATGGATTGGAGATCTGTTTGAAAGTTTGCATGAAATCTGGTTTTCACCTCCTTCTCTGCAGTAAAATCATGGCAAAGCCCCATTGCCTATTTGTGAGGCGAAGTCCGACACGATCCCCAATTAAGATTATGCACATCCTTCATATCGCACGAATATCATCTTGCAGTTAGGTTATAAAAACATCCAAACGATCAAGTTAAATCCATGGGATATTAAAATTAAACTCAAATTGAACTAAATCGATGGGTTTCTGGTATAGAACAGAATAATACAAAAAAGGGCATATTTAGGTATATGGAGAGTAATTCAATAAAGTGCTCAATAAGGCAAATTACAAATGCAATATTCATTTTCCCAATATTTAATATCATGCTTGTGTAAATAATTGACTGGTTTTCAACAACCATCGAACTCATAAAAATGAGCTATAAGTGCTTTTAGTCAATAATGCAATCATCATGTCCAAATATTATACCGCTTTTAATTTGTATACCTATACGTAGACATTTCCTAGAAATAGTCCATTGACACGGTATATGGCCTCAAAATACTTGTGTAATAATTGATAACTAAAAAACCACAAATGACAAGAAAACAATTAATACAATTTATATTTTCTAAGAAAATAGCACAGATGCCAACAATTTAATTAAATTGAATAGTTTTTATGTAGCGTAGCCTGCTTGCACTGCCAAATGTATAAAGCTACTACTGTTTTTATGAGCTAGATTGTTCTCCAGACTTAATCATTTTCTCTATTCATGTGAGATGGTTGATACAATTTCAAATCAGCTTTCAATTGACGAAACGGGACAGAAGAAAATGCGCCAAAAGAATATTGAAATGTTCTGTTCCTATATTTACACAGATCAGTGTTTGTTCAATCGTTGCGTCACCTCTTTCGATCGTCTTATCAGGGTTTTAAAGAAATATTTCTTCGATTTGAGACGAAGAGATGTATAGGAAGCGACCCCGTGTCTTCTTGTCTTAATCCCCATAAGCACACAATGGCCTGGACCGGGTGCAACCCCGCCGACAAAATTAGTTCAACGTCGGTTTGTTGTAGCCTACAAACCTCATTAAAAGTACAGCAAGCCAGATCAAAAATGTACCATTCATATTATATATATGGAAAAGGTCTCTTGGAGAATGGTCGAGTCTGTAGAATTATTGGTATTTTACTTGTTTGAGACACATACAGATAGCGGTGTAAAATCAACAGAAACCCACGTAAACTTTAAACGGCTATACCTTAAGTTACAATTTGGATCACAATGTGTAAAAATAAAGGAGCTTTTATTGTGTATTATAGTCATAAACTGTCACTAAAGCCTTATTCTGGCAAGTCGGGGCATTAATTAGATGAAATATCTATCTACTGATATAATTATCCTCATATGAAGGTATAAGATAAATC